ACTTTGTGTTGTTTTGGCAGGGACGGCGGGGGTGACAGCACATTCTCTGCTGAGCGCAGGGCTATCATCCCTGACGAAAACATTACCAAATGCACCTCGCGGCTAAATCTGGATCATGCGCGGCCATCCCGCGTTCATTGTCAAGTGATTTTGACAGGGTCGGCGGGGGTGGTGGCGCGTGAGCTGCTGTGCGCAGGCCCACCAGACACAATGATGGGCATTGGTTCTCGACAAGGATGGTGGAGGCCGACATGTTTCTCGATGTGTGCTGTCACGTGCGCAGGTGCACCTGACGCACTCTGCATGTGCCCCGAACATGGCGCACCTGGCGCGGCTGGAGTATGCGGCACACCTGGCGCACTCGGAGCACGTGGCGCATCTGGCGCACCAGGCGTGCCTGGCAAGCTCGGGCCCCAGGGGTGCCTGGCGCGCGTGGCGCCCCTGGCACGCGTGGCGCACCTCGCCCAAGCGTCGCGCACCTGGGGTCGGCTTTGGTTACCAATAGCTGCCTATCCAAAAACGACCGCTAAACATGCTCAGGTTCGGGGTGTTGCTGATGTGTTGGGAGGGCGGGTGGGAGTGAGCTTGACGGCTTGCGGGCGGGTGGGCAGCTTGACCCCTCCCCATATCCCCTCCCCTGGATCTGGACGGGGGGGTCCGCGGGTAGCTGGAGCGTCCAAGATGGCCCAAGACAGCTCCTTGAGGGCCTCGGAGAGCCCAAGGTGACATCCAAGATGGTTCAAGACAGCCCAAGATGCCTGAAGATGGCTCCAAAAGAGGCTCCAAGAGCGCTCCAAGGCGGCTCCAAGCGACCAAACAACTCTTCCAGGAGGCTCCGAAGAGGCCAAAATCCTTCCAACACCTTAGAAAAAAACGATGTTGCTTACTGTCTCGCCTTTTGTCGCGTTCGATGGCCATCCGAGGCCTCAAGATGGCTCCAAGATGGCCCAAGGAGGGCCCCAAGAGATGCTCAAACGAGCCCCAAGACGGCCCCAAGAGCGCCCAAGAGCGCCCCAAGAGGCGATGTTTGGGACCCCGAATGGGGGCCCAAATTAAGAACCCCCCTTCTTCGATCGAATTCCTCCACGATGGCCCCATGAGCGCCCCTAACGCCCCCAAGAGCGCAACATGAGGGCCCAAAGAGGCGCCCAGGCGGCCCCAAGAGGCGCCAAAGACGCCTCCAAGAGGTTCCCAAGAGACCCCCAAGAGGCATCAGGACGATCCCCGAGGCACCCTAGACGCTCAAAGACGCCCCTGGGCACGCCAAAGCGCCCGCCAAACGCTCCAAGAGACCTCTAAAAAGCTTCCAAAAGGCATCCGTGGAGACTCCGAGAGGCATCGCCTTCAAGATGCTTCTGGCCCTTCTGCTCGCCGCTTTCTTTCTCCTACTCCTTCTCTTCCGCATCCTCATCCGCCTATTCCTCCTACTCATCCCTCCTCCCTCCTCCCTCCTCGCCCTCCCCCACCTCCTCCTCCTCCTCCTTTTCCTCCTCCTCCACCACGTTCTCCACCACGTTCTTCTCCTCCGTCCTCCCTTTGCCCTGCTTCTCCTTTTTTTCCTCCTCCCCCTGCTCCTCCTCATCAGCAAATTGATGATCGCTCTCCCTCCTCTCCCATCCATCCCCCTCCCTCGAGCGAAGACGGCGGTCCCCCTGTTTGCTCCAACGCTTCTCTGATCGTCTCAACTCGCCTGGGCGTCGGTTTTCGGATGGGCTGGTGGGGGTACTTTTTTGATCGCGACCGCGGCGAAGAAAAGTCGGGCGGCATCCAGGGGGTGGTGGAGATACTTTTTTAGTCAGCGGCCGCGGGCGAGCGCGCCGGCGGCGAGTCAGGTCAAAGCGGGCTACGCAGCGACGAATTAAGCGAAGGCAGCGGGCGCAGGCCACGTCTAACGCAGCTAGCCGAGGCCCCACGCGGCGGGCGGGTGGCAGAAGTGACTGAGACTGACTCGAACTGCCAGCATGCAAATGCGCAGGGCGTCGGAAGCACTACGAAGCCGGGATAAACGACGACCATGGTCGGATGCCGTAAAATTAATGCATGAATCCGAACCCCGGACAACTGCGTGAGCACCAGGGTGGCCGCAGCCAAAGAACCGTCGGTCAAGGTAGAAATGAGAATTGCAAAAGCGAAGCCCCGGACGTCGGCGTGAGCGAGACCAGGGTGGCCCGAGGGACCGTCGGTCAGGGTGGTGGGGATACTTTTTTTGGTCGCGGCCGCAAGCGAAGGCGCAGGCGGCGGATCGGTAAGTCCGGGGCGCGGTCCTTACTAATGGTGGTGCGAGTACTTTTTTGGTCGCGGCCGCAGGCGAGAGCGCAAGCGGCGAGTCGTAAGTCCGGGAAAACGTGGTGGGGATACAGTGTGGGCCCGACCACAAGAAATCTTCCACAAGAAACCCAACCCTGAGACCCCAGGGCGTCCATGGGTTTTTGGTTCGGAAATGTCACGCCTTCCATCGCAAGAACCATCGAAACCCAAGAAACCCAGGGCACCCTGAAGGCCAGCAATGTGTTTCTTGGCATGGGTCTCCACTGTACGCGAAGCGTCAGGAACTTCTGATCGCACAATTTGAAGAAATGTCGATCGATTCGAACGCGCGGGGCCGCCCCTGGGGTTCCCCGGGTCAAAAAAGAACAACCTGGCTGATCTCCGGCAAACTTTTACTCGGAGATGGTTTTCCTCCTGGGTGCATATCCCAGGCCCCCAAAGCGCGCAAAGGCCCCAAGAGGCCCCCAAGACGGTCCAAGAGGGCTTCGAGTCACCAAACTGCCAATCCAAGACCCCAAGATGGCCTCCAGACGGCCCAAGAAGCCTGCAAGACGCCCCAAGCATACTCTAAGAGACCTCCCCGGAGGGCTCCAGAGGCACAAATTTGTGATTTCCCATACGTTTTGAAGGAGTTTGGCGTTCTCGTCTTTTCGACATACCAGCGCTCCAAGACGGCCCACGACGCCTCCAAGATCGCCCCAACACGGCCCAAGAGGCCTACAAGAGCGCCCCAAAACGGCCCCAGACAACCCCAAGACAGCACCAGGGCCCCAGAGGCCTCCAAGATGTCCCAAGAGGCCCCCAAGACGGCTCCAAAAGCAGGCCCAGACGGGGAACCCGAACGGACATTTCGAGCTGTAAGCCCCGAGAGATCCCAAAGAGGCACCACGAGGCCAAGATGCCCCGGAGAGGCCCGCCCCAAGGGACCTCCACGAGGCCCTCACGAGGCCCCCAAAGGCCCCAAAGAAGCCCCCAGAGTTCCCAAAATATCGCTTAAAGGCCCCAGAAAGGCCTCCCAAGAGACCTCAAGACGCCTTCCCAAAGAAGCGTTCTGTCAACGACCCAATTTAACCCAAAAGTGCATACAAATACGGCACAACCCGAGTGAGTTTGCCACGCCGTCGAATACGGATACGGAAAAGCCCAAATCGAACGCGGTGCGCAATATGGGCTCGCGGAGTGAGCGAAGCGATCCGCCGCCCCACCGGGCACGGCGCGTGAGATCCCCGCCGCATGGTCTGCAAGAGTCTCCCCTTGCCCACGCACCCCTCGCATGAAGTCCCTTCCTCGGAGCCCTGGCAACCCCTCCTCGGGGTCCTCCCTCGGCCTGCTCACTCCGCCGGCCCGGGGTCCAGGCTGCGCTCTGGGCCTCCACTGGCGGCCCCTCTGCCCTCCACTCAAGCAGGCCTTTGTGCAGGAGACCTCTGGGCGCCTCCCCGGGCGCCGCTCGGCACCTCTGCGGAGACCCTCCTGGGCAGTCTTGGGGACCTCCTGGAGCCCTCGTGGGCTCCTTTGGCCACTCCATGGGGCTCTCCGGGGCCGTCTGGAACCCCATCCGCAACCTTCTTCGAGGCATGCTCCGCCGTAAAACTGAGGAAGCCAAAAATCTATAAAAATCCGATGGATTTGAATGACTTTCGCCGTCTCGGTCTCCTCTTTGCGCCTCCTGGAGCTCTCTTGCAGCATCTTGCGCCGCTCCTGGGGCCTCTCTGGCCACATTGGAATCTCTGCAAGGCGTCCCGGGTCGGTTAATGACTTTCGCCGTCTCGGCCTCCTCTTTGCGCCTCTGGCCGTCTGGCCGCCCTTTTGGAACCTTCTTGGCCGTCTTCGCCGCGCCCAGGGAGCCCCCGGACCTCTGAACCCCCAAAAACGCATCCCCCTTTGGTTCGCTCCGCCGTTTTCGATACCGTCGGGTGCCCTTCCGGGCCTGTTCCGAGCCTGTTCGGGCCTCGTGGTCGCTGTCTTGCACCCTCCTCCGCGTCTTCTTCGACACTCGGGGGCCCTCTCCGAACCCCCTCTTTCGCCCTCTGGTGCGCAAATTCAGTGGGATCTCTGGAGGCCCTCTGGGGCCGTCTTCGATCCCCGCCCATGCCGAACTCTGGTGTCTTGCCCTCCGCCCTGCGCGCCGCCCTCCTTCTCCTACTCCACCCCGTCCGCCTTCGCACGTGCACGGTCGCCGTCTCTGGGGCCTCTTGCCTGCCTCTTACGCCGCCTGCCGAGGCTTCCTGGACCCTCCGCGGTCGCCAAGACCCCCCCCCGCAGAGAAACGCTGGGTTCCGGAAGAAAGTGGGGCGGCGGCGTCTGCGCCCTCGGGGGCGCTCCATTGACTAAAGATGTTGGCGGGGGTGGAACCTTTTCTTTTTCTCTCACGACACTCGCTGGGACCCAGTCGCCCGAAGTTGTTCGAATCACGATTCACCGTCGAAACGAGGCGAGCAGCACTCAAAATCGGCGCCGCAAATGCCCGCAACCTGTGCCGCGGAGCTCGCCATTACTAAAATTATCGTGAAAACCCGCACACGCGCGTTCGCTCTATCGGAACCCATGCACTATACAAGCGCGAAAGTCTACGCAAGCCAGGAGTGCGCGCCAAGGCTGAGCGGGGTGAAAACCACCGCCAAAAACGACAAACAGAATTTAGTGGCAGTGCTGGCTTCTTGTGAATCATCAGTGGTCGTCGTGGCGCACACCGAATGGAAATTCTTTTGGGGGTCTGTTTGCTGCCCCGTCGCCTTGGACTCAGGCTCGCACCTCCTGTCTTCCACGGGCAACCATCCACCGCCAGACTCCACGAGCTTCTTCCAAGACGCGGCAAACGCTATGTCAAGTTTCTGCTGGTCACACACCCAATGTTTCGCTAACGCCAGGTACGCATCATCGTTCACAAGAGCCAAGTCTGCTGTCAGACGCATGGTTCCAGCCAAGATGCTGGTCCTGTCCTTCGTCTGCCACTGCACCGCCGACCCAGATGGAGTTGCGACTTGCTCCCACTCCTCATCAAGCATTCCAGTCAAGAATTGGTTGGTCCATTGAGAAGGAGTTGTCGTCCACGGCCCCTCGAAGCCACTCGTCATAACGCCAGCACCATGACACTTGCCGAAAGCATGGCCACCTGCTATCAGCGAAGCTGTCTCAGAATCGTTCATCCCCATGCGGCCGAACACCTCCCGAATCTCGACGGCACTCTTCTCAGGATCTGGGTTTTGCCCACTGTTCAAATCGTTCGGGTCGTTCAAAGGCCCCTCAGGGTTCACATAGATCAAACCAACCTTCACCGCGCCCATTGGCTCCTGGCAATTTCCTTGCACAACGCAGTCCGTATCTTGCCAGCTATCTGTGACGCCAAAAATGTCACTCTTGTTACCATCTGCATCATCGACTCGTCCAAAGCAGTGCGGATTTGTTGGGCCTCCCATGTCCCGGATAGCAACGGTGCCAGCAAAACTGATGAGGTCACCCCAACTGAGAGCATCGCCATATTTCTGCTTGATAGGAACGAGAAGGGCACGGGCCTTATCCAGGTTACCATTGTCCTCCCAATCTGACTCTGGTGGGAAGCGGATTCTGGCACCTCCGCAGCCCCCTTTCTGATCAGATGTGCGAAAAGTGCCAGCGCAATGCCACGCTAGACGAATCATAAAACCACCGTAATGGCCATCATCGGCTGGCCAGCAAGTCTGGCTGTCTGTCATGAGGACTCTGAGGTCCTGCTCAAGTGCCTCAATGTCTAGCCCTTCTAGGGCTGTCTTGAAGTCACTGTCAGAAATGACTTCTGCCTTCAAACTTGGAGGAGTGCCAATGTCCATGAAGGGGCATGATCCAAATACACCAATCGGTAAAAGAGTCACGATTAATGACTTCATCGCAACCTTGAAACACTTTGAATCCGAATGTCGCTGGACGCTGGCCTGAAACAGTTGAGCCTTGAGCCCAAATGGCTACGGATGGCGGGGGTGGAACCTTGGGCGTGCACCAGAGGCACGCGTACCAAGGATCATACATTCACGGATGCGGGACAATGGGAGATGGCGATGGCGCCGAACTCTAATAGTTTTGAGGAAAGGCGCGGGTGCTGCGACAGGCCGGCGGGAGACCATCACGAGGGAGCAGCGAATAGCAGCACGGCTGCGTGAATGCAACGCACGGCTTCGATCCGAAAACGATCTTCACTTTACTGGAGAATGTTGCGAGGTGTCAATGTCGTGTTTTCTACATGCCGACCCGGATATGGAGCGAAACGTTGGGTCACTGTGCGCGTTTCGGAGCCTTTGTTGTTTGGCGTCTCTAGGGCTTCTTGGAGGTCCTTTTGGAGCCTTCTTAAATATTATCGGTATCCTTCGGGGTCGTTCTGGAGCTCTTTGGGCGTCTTGAAAGGCTTCGGCAAACCCAGGACTGGGGGTATACGGGAAGAAGGCACGGCTGGTCGGGATAATATCGAGCCACTCAGGTCATGGAGATGATAACATCTGGGATTTAGAAAAACGGCCCCGAATTTAGAACATCCATTCTGGAATCTAGTGAGCCGGTTCTTGCGTTTACCGGATGATGCTTTATCTTGTGTTGAGGAGGCGGCGCAGTTAAGTAAGTCCGCTTCTCGCTTTAAGCTAATCCTCGCTCTCTAAACACGTTGGCTGTGGCATGCGCGTTCATTACCAGCCTCGAGCCTATCCCTATCCCTAAGATGGACACGCCAGAAGGCGATGACAATCTCAGGGGATCCGCCCTCAAAAAATAAGGGAATCCCTGAGATTGGCATCGTGACGAGGCGATGCCCAACACAGGGGTAGGGATGTGTTCCAGGCTGGCAGCACGACCTCTGTTGGGGGGGCAAAGGGGGAGGGAGAGCGGGGAAAACCGCGGTCGGGCCGCGGAGGGAGGGGGGCCGCTGGGAGCCGCAAGGGCATGGCCCGCCAGGACGACCGAGGGAGGGCCACAGGGGGGGGGAGGGGGGAGGGGAAGGGGGAGGGGGAGGGGGGGGAGGGAGGGAGGGAGGGGGGAGGGGGAGGGGGAGGGAGGGGGAGGGAGGGGGAGGGGAGGGAGGGGAGGGGAGGGGGAGGGAGGGAGGGGGGCTAGGTGCGCTCGCGTCACATCTGACATCCTGCCACTCCCTCCCAATCCCTTGCCACGGCGTAGATCCCCTCTCGCTACTCGCACAGCCAGGTGTCGAGCAGGTCAATGATCCCGAAAGGGAACGCGATGCATTGTAGAGCACGGCGTGGCATGGCGTAGAAGAGCACCGCAGAGCATAGTATGTCACAGCATGGCGTGGCGTGGCGTAGTGAAGAATTGCAGCACAAAGCATTGCCACGCAAAGCATGACATCGCACAGCGGCCCCGAACATAACATTGCATAGCATGGCGTTGAAGATCAAAGCGTAGCATGGCATAGCACGACGTGGCACTTAAGCACTGCATATCACAACTTCAGCTGAAGGCATGGCATCGAGCAACGGAACGTAACCTAGCATTGCATTGCATGCCGTGGCATGGCACGGGGAATGACGCCAGCGCTGCAACGGGAACACGATTCGGAACGAGCGGAAGCGCGGAAATGATGCCAACGCTGCAGCGGGAACACGATTCGGAACGAGCGGAAGCACGGAAATGATGCCAGCGCTGCAGCGGGAGCACGATTAGGAACGAGCGGGGCCCGAAAATGAGGCCGGCGCCTCAGCGAGAGCAGCATTTTGAAAAAAAAATGCAGGCGAAAACCAAACTCCGGGGAATCCTGTGTGAAAAACAATGCGCGGGCGGGGGGGGGGGGGGGGGGGGGGGCGCGAACACTCCCAACCCGTCATCAGGGGAAGGAGGAGAGTAGTATTCATATTATTCAATAGTGTGGAGGGGGAGGGAAGGGGGGGGGGGGGAAGGGGGGGGGGGCAAAGGGGGGGAGCGGGGGGCCACGGTCGGGAAAAAGGGGGGTGGCACGGTCGGGCAGCGGGAGGGGGCACGGTCGGCCGCTGGGGCGCGGTCGGTCTGAAAAAGAAGACGGGCGGGGGTGAGGGGAGCGGCGGGCCACGGTCTGGCTGCGGGGGGGGTGCACGGCCGGCAGGGATGGAAGGGGGGCGCGGGTGCAAGAGGGGCGGGGGGGGGACGGTCGGTCGGACTAAGTGGAAGGGGGCGGGCGGAAAGGAGCGAAGGAACGCGGTCGCTAAAAAGGAAATGGCGAGGACGGGGGGGGCACGGTCCGGCCACAAAAGGGGCACGGTCGGTCGGAATAGAACAAGGGGGGGGGCACGGGGGAAGGAAAGGGGGCACGGACAAAAGGAGAAAGGGGGCCACGGGGGTTCGAAAGTAAGCACGGTCTGTCGGTATACAAAAAACAGGGGCGGGGGGGAGCAGCGGGGGGGCAACAATCGGACAGCGGGGGAGGGGAAGACGGGGTCGGTCGGTATAGTGGGGAGAAAGCCCCGGGGGGGAATGAGGGGAGCAAGGCAGAAGAAGGGGGGGGAAACGAGTGGCCCACGATCGGGAAGCGGGGAGGGGAGGCATGGACGGTCGGAACCACGTGAATGGGCCACGGGGGAAAGGGGAAGGGGGGGGGGAGGCACGGAGAAACCAACAGAAGGCACAACCGGTTTCGTGCCTGCTCCTCCCCTCGTCGCCCCCCTCCGCCTGACAGGCGCGGCCTGCCAGGGACCAGCGCGGCGGCGCGCAGGGCTTCGGCCGAGCGACGGGGGGCGACGGGGGGGCACGGTCGGCTGGAGTGGAAGGGGCGGGGCGCGGGGGGGGGGGGGCGGGGGGCCACGGTCAGGCAGCGGGGTGGGGGCGCGGTCGGGTGGCGGGGGGGGGGAGGAAGGGCCGCGCTCGGGCAGGGGAGCGGGGGGGGGGGGGCGGGTGGCGGGTGGCGGGTGGCGGGGAGCGGGGAGCGGGGGAGGGGAGCGGGGGGCGGGGGGAGCGGGGAGCCGGGGGGGGGCAGGGTCTGTCGGTCGGACCGAGGAGGATCGGGCGGGGGAGGGAGCCAACACCCACGCATCCCAGAACCCCCAGCGCACAGCGACAGCTGCCAACGCACATCCCAACACACCCTCGGGGCCACGGCCAGCACGCTCTCCAGCACATCACCGCGCGCATCCCAGCCCCCAACGCACACCCAACTACGTCCGACGCATCTCAGCACACCGATGCCAACACACGGACCCCAGCACACCGGGGCAATACACCGACACATCCCAGCACACCCGAACACAATCGGTCGATAACTAACGATCAGGCCGGTTGGTATGATAAATGATCAGGGGGCGATATAGGGCCCCTGCCCTGCAACCTTTATCACCCTCCCCATTACGGGGCACCCAATAACCAACCACGGAAGGACAACCGGGACAACCGTGTCCATCCATCGAACAAACAACAAACCAGGTTGGTCCTACTATCTACAGGCCTCACTTTCTATTGATCTCCCGACCCGTTTGTGTGCCGATGTACTGATGTAACCTGGCCGTTAGTCCCACTACTGAGCTCACCATCGGCACTTCTTACTATCTACTGTCGACTACTGGTGCCACTACCGAAAGGTACCACTGTCAACCTCACGACTGTCCCAATATCGACCTTACTATCTATACATCGGTATCACTACCGATCTTCGGATATCACGGTCTATCCATCGGAACAACCCACGCATTATTCTTGCGTGTTAGCCAAAATCCCGCGGCCCCGAAAGTGCCGAGCGTTTACACATATTGCCGAAACCTATCGAAGCACTCATCTGGGCAATCATCGGGACAACCGTCAGGACAACCAAATAGACGAAAGAAAACAAACACAAACATCAACTTTTGGCGCTCCGCGCGGATTTCTTGGATCCGCGCTGGCCCCCCTCCCTGGCGCGCGGAGCGCACCAGGGGCGGCGCCTGAGGCGCCGCCAGGGGGGACCAAGCACGGATCCAAGAAATCCACGCGGAGCGCCAAACAGTTTCTGTTTGTGGCGTCTTTCTTCTTCGGATCGAAACACTCCTTTGGGCAATTATCGGGACAACCATTAGGACAACCAAAGCGGACAACCATCTGACTACCTACCAGACCACCCCAACCCAACCCGAAAACCCGAATTTCGGGTTAGGGGGGCACGGGTTCCATCTGTGTTTTCTGCATGTCCCCCGACCCCCCCCCACTGGAAGTGGAAGGCAAATTGAGGCCTTCGGGTTGGCTTGGGGTGGTTTTGTAGGTGGCGAGGTGACATCAGGTCAACCAAAGCTGACAACCATCGGGACAACCCTCATGCGAGGCAAGGATTTATCCATATCCACCGCCTGGGAACCGACGTCCTGGTGCCCCAGCG